CGCCCCGCCGGGCTCAGCAGTGGCTCGCCTCCCTCATGCTCACAGAACCAGGCGCAGGCCAGCCAGGCCTCAGGACAACCCTCCGTCACGCAGCCCTGCGCGGTGGAGGTGGGACTCGAATCCTTCCCATCCACAAGGACCACAGCACACTCGGGAAGTGAGGGCGCTGTCTGAGGCCCGGCGTCGAGGGCAGCTCGGGGCAGAGCTCTGCATACCAGAGGCCGTGTGGGCAGCCGGCCTGCGGTTTTCATGCAGCCCCTTCCTGGGACTTGATCCCAAGATCCCAGGATCCCAGGCCAATCTGCACAGGCCAGGCCCACACCTGCACCACGCTCCCGGCTGGCTGAGAGGCCGCAGAGGCTCACGGTGTGAGACCCTATGAGAGCGCTCCTCTCACTCCCTTTCAAGCAGGACACTTGAAAACCACAGCAAAGCAAGCCCTGTCCTGGGTACCCTGCAGGACACAGAGCCAGGCTCCCTCCCGGCTGCGGTCTGTCTGCACCGCCCTGCAGCAGCTGCCTCGTCCCTTCGCCAACCGCCAAAGGCTCTGGCAACAGGGAGGGAGGCACCGGAGAGGCTCGGGGGCAACTGTGTGGCCCACAGAGACACGGAGGAAGGAGAAGGAGGACTCTTCAAGATGCTTCAGAACTTGGGAACCAGCAGTTGGCGTAATGGCTGTGTCGCTGGACTCCCACGTAGTCGACCGCGGTTCGCATTCCAGACCCAGTGGCTTGAAACTCACGGCGGGCACGTGTGCGTGTGTGCCCAAGATCCCGAGAGGAGAATAGAGGAGAAGGGATTGCAGCGTGACCATCCCCCCGGGGGGTGATTTCTCGCTTTCTGTCTCTATGTCTCTCTCTGTCTGTCTGGCGAGCACATGCACCCTATGGCGAAAATCTCTCCAAAAAAAAAAAAAAAGATGCTTCAGAACTGGAATCATAAAGAATGAGGCAAGAGAGAAGACAGCACAGGGACCGCGTGTGTGTCGGTGTGTGTATGTGTGTTGGTAGGTGTGTGTGCGTGTCTCTGTGTGTGTTGGTGTCTGTGTGTCGGTGAGTGTGTGTTGGTGAGTGTGCGTGTGTTGGTGTGTGTGCATGCTTGTATCAGTGAGTGTGTGTATGTCGGTGAGTGTGCATGCGTGTCCGTGAAGGGGGGTGTCTCAGAACTGGAATCATAAAGAATGAGGCAAGAGAGAAGACAGCACAGGGACCGCGTGTGTGTCGGTGTGTGTATGTGTGTTGGTAGGTGTGTGTGCGTGTCTCTGTGTGTGTTGGTGTCTGTGTGTCGGTGAGTGTGTGTTGGTGGGTGTGCGTGTGTTGGTGTGTGTGCATGCTTGTATCAGTGAGTGTGTGTATGTCGGTGAGTGTGCATGCGTGTCCGTGAAGGTGTGTGTCTGTGTGTGTCGGTGAGTGTGTATTGGTTAGTGCATGTGTGTCAGTGAGGGTCTGTATGTCTGTCTGTGAGAGTGTATGTGTCGGCGAGTGTGTGTCAATGAGTGACTGTGTTGGTGAGTGTGTGTGTGTTGGTGTGTGTGTGTAGCTGTGTGTCAGTTTATGTGTGTTGGTGTGAGTTTGTGTGTGTGTGTGCTGAGGCCAGCTGACTGCAGTAGGATATATCTGAAGCACGTTCCCTCTGGGAACAAGGCCCTTCGGTTCCGGGCGCAGGTAAAACCCACAGCCCAACTCCATGGAGCTGCCCGGCAGCAGCAACGCCCCCTCTCCAACACAGGAGTCCAGCATGGCCGTGTCCCAGCAGGAGAGAGGACTGTTTCTCCGGCTACTGCCCCTGAGGTAGCTGCTGTACCATTCAGTGGGGGCTCTGGTTGGGGCCCTGGGGTGCCCCCCGATTCCACGTACAGCTGTGCTGACAGGTCCTGTGCCCAGACCCCAGGCGCTGATAGGGGCTCAGTGTGTCCCTCTCAGCCTAAGGGCCCCCTTCCAAGTGAAGATCCCCTTTGATGCGTGTGTAAACATAGTTGGGAAGTGGGGGATACCCCAGAGCACCCCTTCCCAAGGCAACATGAGAGCTAGTGAGCAAATGCCCCCACCCATGGGCCTTGCACAGAGAAGCTGAGAGCATTCGGGAAGCTGGGAACAGAGCGTCCACGGACCACAGCGGCTCCACGGGCCACTCTGCTCTTCATCCCTGTTTTACTCCCTGGCTGCCACACCCCTTCCTGGGACCCCCAGATCAGCCACCTGCGCCTGAGCCTTCAACTCTGGGCTCTGCTCCTAGGGGCACCCAGGCTAGGACGGGGGCCAGACTGGACGGGTGGGTCCCCCAGGGGAACATGGGATTGAAGCTGACGGAGGGCACGGGGTTGGCTTGTGTCCCCGCTCTGCACACACTCGGGCTGTGGCAGGGCTACAGAAGGCAGACCGAGTCCTCCAGGTCAGGGCGGGTCGAAGAGGATCAAAACACCTGGCACAGGGGCCAAACGGTGACGCGGTGGAAACACAGCTGGGCCCACGTGGCTGGTCTCCGGCTCTCGGTCTGGGGCCTCCCTCTCTGTGGCAGGGGCCGGCAGGCATGCCTCCTTGCACCCCGAGCTGACTGGGGCTGAGACGGGCCATGCCATGGAGAACGCTCTCTCCCATGGAAGAAATAAATAAAATAAATTAAATAGCACCTGGCAATGAAAATCAGACCCTTCGGTCTGCACGCTGGGGAGGGGAAGCCAAGGGAAAGGGGTGGGGCTGAGGGTTTGCACACAAACGCGTGACTGGAAAGGAACATGAGTCCTGACGCCAGTTAGGGGTTCAAGTCCTGGTCACGACCAACCTCCCAGGCTCGTGACCTCAGACAAGCCATCCTCGCCCCCATCCCACAGAGAGGCCGACTAAGGAAGTGTCCGCGGGCATCGCCTGGAAAGCACCACGCGGCGTTAATTATTGTCACTCCCAGCCCTCACGTCTGAGAAAGGCGGTAACAGAGCAAGTTAATAAAGTGCTTACCAGCGCTAGCAGAATGCTTCATTACATAAACCGTCTGATTGCCTCCCTGTGTTTTCTTGTCTCTGACTTAAAAAAAAAAGGAGGGGGATGGTGAAAGATTTAGGGTAGAGGTCACCAGCGGGTTTGGGCCAGAGCTGCTTCATGGCTGTTTCGTTGGGCTGACAAGATGACTTGAAGTATCTTGTGAGGAGCTGCCACTGCTTGAAAATGAGAGAATTCCCTCAGCACATCTGCTCCTCTGAAAGATAAGGAGAGCGTGCCCCTCTTCCCCGCTCCAGCTGGCTGCCCCTGGGCGCCACCGTCCTGGGGAGAGGACCCCACGCCTCCCCATCTTGGGGCGGCTGACAGCTGGTGGAGACAAGGCAATCGCTGTGCAGCCTTTGCCCTAGATTTAAAACAGCCCTGAGGCCTCCCTGGAGAGGGCGGCCACTGGGGCTGCAGAGAAGAGGATGTGCCCCAAGGGGTGCCCGGTGCTCCCCTCCCCGATGCAGCTCTCCCTCTCCGTGTGGACACCCATGGGCTCTGTGACCCAACCTCAGTGCTAGCTCCTGTCCCTTCTCCCTGCGCCTTCTCAGAGGCAGCCCACGAGCAGCGAGGGGCCTGCTGGCTCTGTGAGGTGACAGGACTTTGGAGTGTGAGCTCTCTGGAAGGAAATCAATGCCACATTCAGTAGGGTCAGCACTGTTCTGGGCTTACGGGACAGCAACCCGCGGCCTTTAGTCACCATCCAGATAAGATAGGCGCAACCCTCCCACGGGAGCCTCAGCAGAAAGGAATGCCCTTCCCACGGTTTCTGCCAGTTCCCGGGGGCTTAAATTCTACCGTTGTTCAGATGGGGCGGGGAGGAGGGGGCTGTGGTGCAGGGACCCTTGTAGTAATGTGCAGCTCTGCATGCTGGTCGTGGTGACTACACATGCCCACACGTATGACAGAACCACACACACGCACACACACGAAACCGCTCCCTCACGGCCTGCGTGTATGCAGCAGTGCTAGCTGAGGGCCCGGAGGGGACACGCACACCTTGTCGCTACGACGCTTCTTGGACGCTGGTTTAGTATTCAGTACGGTTCGCCGTGCAGCAGGTCTGCCAGGCCGCCCTGCCCGCTCCTGCCTTCTCTTCCTGCGCCCATTCCTTCTAAAACAAGCACACCATGAAAAGCAAAAGCAAAAAAGATAAACTTCCCGTGTTCTTTCGTTTGTTTGTTTGGGTTTTTGTGTTTGTTTGTTTTTGAGAGAGGTTTTTGCTACAGGGCACATGTGCTCGCTGGAAAGACAGAGAGACAGAGAGACAGAGAGGCAGAAAGAGAGAAATCACCCCCCAGGCAGATGGCCACGCCGCAATCCCTTCTCCTCCATTCTCCTCTCGGAATCTTGGGCACGCATGCACACGCACCCGGCATGAGTTTAAGCCACCGGGTCCGGGACTCGAACCATGGTCAGCTACATGGGAGTCCAGCGATAAAGCCATTACGCCAACTGCTGGTCCCTCCCCGTGTTCTTTAAAGGGTATTTATCTCTTCCATGAGAGAGGGAAAGCTACCCTCAGCAGGGTCTGTGTGCCACGACCCACTCAGTCCAGCTAGCTGGATCAAGGGTACACATTCCCCCGGATGCTCGGGGACACCCTGGGACGCAGACCCAGGACCTCGCGCATGGGTCCAGGTGCAGTACTGCTGCACCTCTGCCCGGCCCCATGCCCTGTGTGCTAACCCAGGGCAGCTAAGTGGCTCCCTTAGTGTCTCGGTCAGGGTCTCCCCTCCCACCCTCTGGTAACTTTTTCAGTGATTCCCTAAGTCAGGCCAGTTCTGTCAACAGCCTTCCCTGGAGGGCGGCCCGGAGCAGACTCCTGGCTCAGCAGCTCCCTCGGAGAGACCTGACCCCTCTTCTCCTCAGCCTTCCTCCTACCTCCCTCCTACCACCGGGGCTCCCAGCTCAGTGCCAGCCAGCCCCTCCCGAGGGCAGCACGAGGACCACCCTGAGGAGGCGAGATTGAAGAGAAGACTGCCACACAAGGAGCCTCTCGGCACGGAGGGCAACGTAATCTCTTCCCAGGAGTCGTCCTCTCAGCTTAAATGCGTCCCTCGTTCCAGATGACAACGGCTCGTTCCCCTTTCCAGAGTGAAGATTCCAAACTTAATTCTGCAGAAAATAGACTTTGGGACATGTGCCAACACAAAACCAGGAACGCTTTAACGCAGTAAAAGTAACCATGAATACACGTTCAGCTTCAGTTTTGGGGTTCTCACAGCGTTTCACTGTAACACACGCCCCGAGAACTTCTACAAGTAGAGAAGACAGAGACACGCTGAGACACGTTACGTGACACGACAGTGGAGCTTAGAGAGGAGCCGAGCCCCACCCACGTGGGACACTGAGAACCTGGTGAGATCAGGCCCAGCGGGGCGTTCAGGCTCATTCATTCCACCACGTGGCGGGAGCAGGCGAAAGCAATGTCTAGATGGAGAATCTCAGGGCACCTGGGGCAGAGCAGAGCGCAGGCAGGACACCACGGTGACCTGGAGCAGTGCAGGAGTGGAGCCGAGAGCGGGGGAGCCCTGGGGAGCCCTGGAAGGAAGACCCAATGCTGATGGAATGGACAGTCATGAAAACAGGAGCCTCTGGCATCCAGACAGGCCTGTAACTGCAATAAGAAGACCAGGTGGGACAGTAGTCAGGGTGAGGGCACCCAGAGTTCCGCTCTGGACAGGAGCATCTGCCCACTGGATACCTTGACGAGAAGGGAGGGGGTAGGTGGTTCTCAGAGTCTGGAGTCAGGGGAGCAGTCCTGGCCGGAGAGGTCTGGAAGCCCCCCTTCCTTCCCGCTCACATAGAACACTGGAATCAGAGACCGTATGAGCGCCCCAAGGGCGAGGTATGGAGAGAGGACAGGCCAAGGACAACCCTGGGGCCCTGGACAGGCCAAGGATAACCTGTGGAGAGGCCAGGAGAGCAGGAAGCAGCGCTGTGTATCCTGCCCGGGTGCCCCTGGCCGCTGGGACGCGTGACCACAAACAGAGGGGCTGAAAGCTACCCTCATTTATTCCCTAGTCACCTGGTTGGAAGGCTATGATGGCTCTGCAGGGCCGCATCCCTTCTAGAGGCTCCAGGAGAATCTGCCTCCTGCCTCTTCCAGCTTCCAGAGGCCCCTCCCTCCCTCCAACACGGAGCACTGCCATGCAATCTGTCTCTCCACTTGAGCACAGGCTTCCCGCCTCAAGCACCCTGACCTTTCCCTTCACCTAACATGCACTGTTTAAGGAAGTTGTGCAAAAGGAGAAACGCAGTCCTTCACAACAGCCTCCAGCCACCCCACCACCCAAATGACCTTCCCCCGGGCCCAGACGCACCTTTGCAGGTAGCGCTCCTGCAAGATGCTTGTTTTCAGGCTCCACTTAATTAGGGTAAGTGTAATACGGCTTGTTTATGTTACTGTTTTATTTACCAAATGCTTCTTTATGGAAAAGCAGGACAGGACAGAAGTGATAAGGTTCTGGAATGTTCCAGAACACCGGGTACACATTTACGTAACAGTCACATTCCCGTTCTTGTACCCTGCCTCTTCTCCCTCAGAAGTCTTCTAAACAGTGTTAGGAATTCTGTCCTGCGCCTCATCTGTCCCTCCTCACCCCTGTGACCACGGCCCCGAGGAACGCTGAATTGCTGGTTAAATGGGAGTACATTCTTCGTGTCCATATCAAAGTTCAAAGTGTAATGATCTGTATAAAAGAGTGTTTGTCCGACAGCTTAACCGGCACGTCCCAAACTGCGCCTCTGAGACCCACCGGTTGGAATCAGTGACCACGGTAGCATCTCAGTCAGGAGAGCTAAGCTCACACCCTTTTTGGGTACGAATTGTCTTTCTAACCTTCAGAGGAGCCAAAGTCACCATGTAAGATGGGTTAAGTCACAGTTCACGCGCCAGCTGCCAGTTAGGCTTCAGAGTGGGAGGGGAAGGGGCGAAGCGAGCGAGCGAGCCATGCAGAGAGAAACTGGGCTTCCACGCTGCAGCTCTCGCAGTGACAACATGGCGGTCAGCTGGCCACTTTCTTTAGACTTGAGCTGGTGATGGTGACACATGCAGAGCGGCGACACTCACGCCCTCAGCCCCAAGTGCTACCTCCCAGCCTGCTACATGCTCAATCCTCTTCCCTTCAAGGAGATCCGCCGTCCATCCTGGGAGCTGGTGTGGACGGTATCAAAGCTGGACGCTCTGGGAGCCAGACTACACCTCAGAATCGCCCTCTGGGCACCCCGCTGCCCAACAGTGCAGGTTTCAGGGACGCTTAGCATCCCAGCTCAAGCCCCGTCCCCGCGTGGGTGTTCCGGCATGCCAGCCTCCACTTCCCACCTCAGTATCAAACTCCTTTTTCACGTGGACTCTCGAATACGTAAGTGCTTATCGAGTGCCCAAACACATTACACTCAAACTAGGGGAGCGAGGGAGCCCGCGGTGGCCTCGTGACACTTCCCACGCAGTGGACAGACAGGACACATTAATGTCAATGGCACCCGCCTCATCCCACCCTGACCCGGAGATTTTTTGTTTCAATATATTTCTCAGGCTCTGATTTGTCGCCACTTAAATCTATTACAGTTCCACAGTATTACAGGGGCCCCCTGGCCCCCACGCCCGCAGGTCAGGAGCACTAGGTAAAATTCCCAGCCCAGAGAGCTGTCTGGGTGGGATGCATCAGGCACCTTCGCCGAGCACCGGTGTGGCCTGCGCGTCTCCGGCTGTCTGGTGTGCCTGCACCAACCGCTGGCATTGCCCCAGCAAACGTGGGCCGTGCGGCTATAAGAACAGACACGTGTAGTTCAGATCCTGGAGACTGCAGCCCGATGTCAAGGTGCCCCGGGCCCACACTCCTGCGGACCTCCTGACCGAGTGCCCACCTGGCCCTCCCCATGTGAGGCGTCCCTGGTCCTCCTTTCTCCTAAGGACAGCACTCAGACAAGGTTGGGTCCCATCCTCTCCCTCTTGAGAGGTCTCGCTCCCGGGCTGCCCTGTGCTGGCACCACTGGCTCCCCCGTTTCTAGGACACAGCAGTGACACCTAGGATGGCTCAAAGCTCTGGATACAGGAACGAGAGGGACAGAGGGACTGTGCAGAGCAGCCCCCGGAGAATTAGGAGAGGAGTCTGGGTGCGGCGGGGACAGGGCAGTCTGGGAGGCGGTCGGAAAGGCGCTGGGGGCAGACGGGGGAGAAAGCTGAAGCCCAGCTGAGGATCGCTCACGTGGCCAGGAGGGTGTGGCCAGGAATTCGCTGCTCTCCCCTCCAGACTACAGCACGCAATCGCTGCACGCGCTCGCCGCCTCACGTGTCTCGCTCAGGGGACAGGCAGGATCATGTCTGCCACCTTTTCAAGCAGCCGCTAAGCTCCACAGGCCTTGACCACTGTCCCCAGGACAGCTTTCTCGAGGTGCCTCCCCCCCAAATAGTAGACGGTCCTGGAACACAGGGAGGGAAGGGCAGAAAATGGAGAGACTTGCGTGCTTGTCTCCCCTGCTCCCTAGTTCCCCTTCTAGGGTCTCTTCTCTAGTTCACCCTCATCACTCATCTATGTCTTTCTTTACAAATAATTCTGCCAAGGGGCTAGCAGGTGGCATAGGGGTTAAGGTGCTAGACTTCCCACATGGGTGACCACAGTTCAAGTACCGCACCTGTGGCCTGAAAAATCACATGGCACATGTGCATGTGAGCCCAAATTCCTGGAGGAGGATGGAGGAGAAGGGACTGCAGTGTGGCCATCCCCCCAGGAGGTGACTTCTCAACTTTCCCTCTCATTGTCTCTGTCTCTCCGAGCACCAAAAACCTTAAAAAAATAATTTGCCAGAGGGCACACACACTTACTAGAGGTGGGGGAAGCAAGAGAGCACCCCGGGGGGCTCCATTGCTCCCTCCTGTTGGCATTTTGGGCACAGCTGCAGACACGCAGCTGTTTCATTCAAGCTGCTGGGCCTGGGACTCAGACCACGCGGCCAGCCATGTGGGACTCACCCACCGTAGCCACCACACTACTGGTCAGCATTCGCTCACTCTCTATCTCGCTGTGTTTCGTTTTGCTTTGGTGGTTTTGCTGTAGGTTGTGGGCACCTGCCAGAGAGTGGCAGAGAGAGAGAGTGAGAAATCATCCACCAGGGAGGATGGCCAGGCTAATTTCTCCTCCATCCTCCACTTGGGACTTCGGGCATACGAACACATGCACCTGGCATGTCTTTCAAGCTGCCCCACCCAGGGCTTGAACTGAGCAGTTGGCCATGCGGGAGCCAGTTGCTTTAAGCAGCACACAGCCTGGCATCCCTGGTCCTCTCGCTTTTTAACCCCCAACTTTTCCAACTCCAACTCAGCTTCCCCTTTCCATGCCCCTCCTCCTCTGGTTCTGTATCATTTTTAAAATGTGTTTTTAACTGGTATTTGAAATTTCCAAATATGAATCTACAATATAAATACTGAAAAACCTTCCTTCTGCTTGAGAGTTAGAACAGTAATGCAAAATAACTCCAGAAGGCACTTATGAGGTGGTGAGTGTTCAAGCAGAAAAACTCATTTCAATAATGTAAAAGAAGTTATTATCACACGCTTTTCTCAGTGACCTTCAAATATTTATCTTCCCGGTACGGAGCACGTACTGTAATAGAAACCCCCACGGCGCCAGAGCCAGCTACCCAGAACCGCAGGGCGCGGTGCTGCTGCCACACGGGTCTGCTCCGGAACTGCACGCAGCTCTATCCTTCACTGCTGGAAAATTCTTAAACACCTGAGTATGGGCCACCTGTGAGGAAGAGACAAAGCTACAGGAGGGCAGTGGAGACGGCAAACTCGCAGAAGCAGCTTTCACGAATGCAGCGAGCAACGTGGCTCCGGGCGGAGGAGACTGCCATGGCCCTTGGGAGACGGGGAGAAATGCAGGTCGGAGGAGGGACCTCGCCATCACCGCGGGCTGTGCAGCCCCTCTCAGCCCCAGACGCTGCCTCCCCACTCCCGCGCACACAGGTACATACGTATTCACGAAAAGGCCCCTAACATTTCTGCGGGGGGGAAAAATGAAACCAAAATAGAACGATTTCCTGGAATGATGTAAATCATGTCAAAAAAAAAAAATTGATGAACTGCAAATTATTCATCTATTGGTTCCAAACTTGCCCTTATTTTGTGTCTAGCCGGAGGTATGCATCCAACTTCTGGAGACCGTCGAAATGGCTGCCACCGAGAACTAATTCACTGAGGGCAACGGGTCACACGAACAGGCCGGCTTGGTGCCCGCGAAGCAGCTGCACCCCACCCTCCACTTCCGCTCCTGCGACCCTCACGGCCAGCGCCCCCAGCTCGCTCAGTCCTTCGGGGCCTCCTCTCCTGGCACCAGGGGCTCGCACCTGCCGCCCTCCCCCCACACTCCCATGGGGTGGGGCAGCTGGGCGCCCTTCCTGCCTCTCCCCCACACACCCCATAACCCCCAGGGCCCCATCCGCCTCCTCATCTGTCTTCCCACCCCAGGTCTCTAGGGCACCCCCTTTCTCCTCTTCTCCCACTTCCCCTCCTTGTCCCCCCAAGGGCTCCCAGAACCCCCTTTAGGGCTCTCCTTCCTGCTCCTGGCCACCCCCCCCAAAGCTCTCAGCTCCCCGCTTCAGGGCCCTCCCCCGCATTCCCCACAGTCTTCTGCTTCTAGCTCGTTTGTGGGAGGCTGAAGTAGTTTCCTCCCCGCCCCGCGCCTGCGCACTGCGCTGCCTCATTCGAACTCCTTCGCGGCCAGGCGGGCGGTGGCTGCAGCACGCGGTGTGCTAGGCGGAGCTCACGCAGGGCGGGCCGGCCGGTGCCCAGGCCACGCCTCCCGCGGTGAGGTGCTGCCCTGGCCAGGCTCGCGGTCTCTACCCACCCTACCCCTCTGCATGGGTTGTTCTGGGCGTGGGCGGCAGGCCTGGCCTGGGAGGCCCGTGCGCGGGCGATGGGCATGGAGGGGCTATAGCGGAAGGAGGGAGCCCCGCTAGGCCTGGGAGCAATGTGGTTCCCGGCTAGGGCCTGCATGGGCAGTCCGGGTGGGCTGAAGGCCACTGGGCCAAAGAGGGCGCCAGGAGTCGCGCAGTGGTAAAAACCCCAGCTCCTGCCGCGGCAGAACATGCACCGGCCCGGGGCCGCGCACGGGCAGGCCTTGCTGGGTAGAACTGCACCAGCCGGGCCCAGGACTTGCTGGGTAGAACCGCACTGGCCAGGCCCAGCTCTTGCTAGGCTGCAGCGCGCACCGGCTCCGGGCCCAGGCCTTGCTAGGGTAAAATGCGCACCGGCTCCGGGCCCAGGCCTTGCTAGGCTACTGTGCGCATCGGGCCGGGCCAGACCTTGGGAAAGTGCAATGGCGAGCACCGAGTCTGGCCTAGGGGTTGCCAGGCTGCACCTGGACCCGACAGGGCCCAGATCTTGCTAGGTACTAGACGCAGAGCCTGCAAAGGCCCAAACCTAGAATTCTAGAATCTTAGACAAAAGCCTGTGTTAGCCTAACTCGTGCTTAGGTTTAGCCCCTTGTAGCCCCAGGCCAAGTTGGTATTCTAAGCCTGACCCTGCTGCCCTGAGGCCAGAACCATAGTAGCCCTTTATTCAGCCCACCTGCCTTCATGCCACAACCCCACTGTGTCCTCCTAAAATCGGTCACCTCTTCCCACAAAGGCCGAGTCATCATGGCAGCCACCGAGATCTCTGTCCCTTCTGAGCAATTCACCAAAATCAAAGATGTGGAGTTAATGGTGGAAGAAGGCCTGGAGGACAAGGAGGAGGAACACGGAGTGTGTGGGGTGAAGCCTTGTCAGAGGCCTGGACAGCCAGAGGGTGAGTGCACCCGTGGGGCCCTCCAGGGCCAGATTCTGGAAGGAGAGCTGGAGCTGGTGCCAGTGACTGCAGCAGACAGTGAGAAGCACCTCACCCTGCAGACGGTGCACCTTACTTCCGAAGATGCCTTGCCCGAGCTGTGCTGGCCGGGCGCAGAGCACCAGGAGCAGGTGCAGACGGCTGTGCCGCAGGCCCCCAGTGATGGGCTGCTCTCACTGCTGTGGCTTGAGGAGGGGGCCCAGCCTAGACTGCAGCAGTGTGTGGCCATTAGTATCCAGGAAGAGCTGAGCTCGCTGCAGGAGCTGGAAGTGATGCAGTTCCATGTTCTGGAGGAGAGTATGGCCGTGGCCAGTGAAGACAGTAAGGTCGCAGTGAGCCTGGCTGAAACCACTGCACTGATTAAGGTACAGCTTGCTTTAACAAACTAACCCCTGACACAAGGAAAAAATAAATAAATAAATAAAAGCTATTTGCGTAAGTCAGCCTTTGTGCAGTGTTAGGTACGAACAGATTATTTTGCAGTGTAAAATTAAACAGACTATTTCCCAGTAAAATCCTGGGAGACCTTGTATTCTTTTTCTAAGAAGTTGCAAAGTTACACTGATTGGGGACAGCAGGTGGTGTGGTGGTTAAGGTGCTGGATTCCCACATGGCCAACCACAGTTTGAGTCCTGGACCTAGCGGCTTGCTTTCTCACTTTCTCATCCTCTCTGGTGTATGCACATGCCCTGTAGCAAATTTTAAAAATAATAATAGTAATGATAAATAAGTCTTTTAAAAAATTATACTAATTGGACTATTAGGTGTGTTATGTTTTTAAAAAGAGAAAGGTGGTTATATTTCACCGCCAAAGCCCTGATTCTAATAATTATAGCTCAAGTGTTTCAGTTTTAAAGCATACTGTTTAATTTTCGCTTTTCTTATGTGTTCTGTGGTTCATCAAGGCCAGGAGTTGAATCAGACTGTAATGAATAGTGTCGTCTTTGTTTGGATACTTACTTTTGGTTAGCTTGAGAAAGAGGAGGTGGCAGACCAGCTGTTGGCTGAAGGAGGATTCACCGAAGGAACAGAGGAGCAGTTCTTCCTGGTGGAAGCAAGGCCAGGAGAAGAAGGCAGAGATGGAATCGTTGTAACGATTTCAGATTTGAACGGGAAAGAACCAGGAGGTGAACCTGCATCTGGTCAAGCAAGTGCAGAAAAAGCCAATCCTACAAAAAGTCAAAGGAAGACAAAGGGTAGGCCGGCTCCTTTTGTGTAGACTGCATAGAACTGGGCTCCCCTTCTCTTTATGGGAAGACAGTGGTAATGGAAGGTTTAAGTGGTTGATTTGTAATTGTTTTGAGGCTGTCAGGAGATGGGAGAGATGTTAAACTAATGTTCTGTATTGTGAATCAAATCCTAAAGGGTTTTGCCTTTTGCACAGGAATGTTTTAAAAGCGTGGTAAAAATGTTCCCCAAAGCATTTTGCAAGTAAACAGAAGGCTGAGCCCTGGTGCCTGGTCTAGCTTGCAGCTCCTAGGGGTGTAAGAGGGGGCAGGGAATTATAGGACAGGGTGATGAGCTCTGATGGAGGTGAGAGCAAGTGACCCTGTAGGAGGCGGTAGAGGGCCTGTGGGGAACAAGGAAAACCATCCGGAATGGCAGCATCCATAGCCACAGTCTAGCCACTTGTGACTACTGAAATTTGAATTTTAGACAATTAAAATGAGAGAAAAATTTAGATTGTAAATCATCAGACAGTTTCCAACTCTACCTTAACCTTCACTTCCTTTCTCAGAGCCTTTACGGTAGCCAGCGGCCAGTACTTAGGGCGTTCCCAGGTCATCCCTCAGCCTGGGCACAGACTTGGCCTTCTGTCTTCCAGGAACATGTTGGCAATTTTCAAAGCCCTTATTCTCCATAGCATCTCAGGCCTCAGCCTCTCCTCCCCTAGTCTTGGTTTAGTCTGTTTGTCCTCATCGTTATTCATTGCCTTTCACTGTTTTTAATACAAACCTCCTCGCTGGGTGGCTTCTTTAGCACTGGGCAAGTTTCAAGTCAGCAGAATAAAGGCAGGCCTTTTGAAGTGGTCTTTCAGGAAGCCACGAGGCAGGTAAAAACAAACAACTGTAGTGAGTGAGGTCCATCGCAGTTCTCTGGTGCTGGTACTGAGCACTGGGACTGCTGCTCTCCACCCTCTCACTTAGCTGAAGAGCAAGAAGTGGGTGCAAAGTAAGTTACCACTGGTCAAAGCTCCCTCTCTTGTTGGGAATCCACCAGATTTTTTAAATTCCTGTTCCTCTGGTTGCTCCAAGTGTTTATTTAGTTCCCAGTGTCCCCAACATTGATTCTGACAATTTTTGGCAGTTTCTTTATTGCTTTTGTGGAGGGATGGATTTTTGGATTTCTGTACTCTACATTTTCACTAAGAATCCAGCTTTATTCTGTATTGAATAGTTCTAGCCCCTGAAGTCTTCATAGGTCCGAGTCTTCTGTTGGTCTTTCTGCTGACTCTTGCGTTGGTATCTCATTTGCCCTCAGTGAGTATTTGGGTTTTTGTTCGTGGCGCTTTAGTGTGGTCCATGGGAATTGTTTGAGGCCTCGGGTGAAAGCGAGTTCTTGGCAGGATGTCTCTATCGGCCTCTGCCAGACAGCGATGGTCAAGACCGCCTTAAACCAGGTCCCTGTACACACTAGAACTAGCTGAGAAAATACGCTGGGCCTCGTGCCTTCTCCAGAGTCATCTTCTCGGGGGCCAGCCCCCCTCGATACTGGGCCAGCACCGTCCGATGGGACTTTCTCTGATGACAGAAATGTGGCCACTAGGCACATGAGGCAGTCAAGCAGCTGGAATGGAGCTTACCACAGAGGAATAGTATGTAAAGTTCTCTCATTTAACTGTCCGAATTGCACACTTAAGTAGTCACAGGTGGCCAGTGGCTGTGGTTTCGGACAGCACCATCTGGATGGCAGTCTCCCAGCTGGGGTGGAGCATGCAGGATGGACTGGGTGACCTCTAGCTCACCCTCCAGAGACTGCATCCCTTTAGGCCCATCTCGGTGGGAGTGGAGCAGGGCTCTTGGGCACCACAGCTTGGGGAGGGCCTGAGCCGCAGCTCTTGTCTGATCGGCAGAACATTCTAAAATTTAAGGTGGTGTCCCCTCAGCATTTGTCAGTATGTTCAGGAGAAGGGAGGAGCAGTCCCGTCCACCGTGTGGCCAGAGATGGACGTCAGCTGATAGCTGATCACACACACCAAGGCGCACGGCTGGCCACGCAGGGACACCGCATCCTGGTGGTCCACGTTCACTTGTGAATACAGAGCGTTCCAGTGTCATTACCACATTAGGCTAGAAAAGGATGTCCCAGCTAGAGTGAGGGTGCTCGGGTGGGACTTGAACTTGTGAAGAAAGGTTCCTGTGACACGTCAGCTCTGTCTGCGCCCTCCAGGAGCGAAGCGCATCTTCTGCTGTGATGTCTGCTCGTTCACCTCGTCCAGAGTCTCCAGTTTCAACCGCCACATGCAGACTCACACGGGCGAGAAGCCCCACCTGTGCCACCTGTGCCTGAAGGCGTTCCGCACCACGACCCTGCTGCGGAACCACATCAACACCCACACAGGTAAGGCCACGACGCGGGTCTGCCTGTCCCCAGGAAAATCACGTATCGTTCCCTACGTCAGTTTGGTCTCTTGAATTTCTGTGAAAGACATGTGTCTGTAGTGGATATAGCTTCTTCTTCTTTTTTTTTTTTTAAGGATTTTTGTCTTAGGGCATGTGTACTCACCAGAGAGAGAGAGAGAGACAGAGAGAGGGAAAGTGAGAAATCACCTCCTGGGGGGATGGCCACGCTGCAACCCCTTCTCCTCTACTCTCCTCCCAGGATCTTGGGCACGCAGATCTGGTATGATTTTTTAAGTCACCAGGTCTGGGACTTGAACCATGGTGGGCCATGTGGGAGTCCAGCGGCATAACCGCTACACCTTCTGCTGGCCCTACCCTGTCTTCATTTTTAAAGCATTTTGAGACCGAGTATCATTCCAAAGTCATACGTTCCTTGGAGATTTTGTGGTGAAGTCTTCTGAAAGTCCGAACGACATGCCTTTACAGGAACCAGGCCCTTCAAGTGTGGTGACTGCGACATGGCATTCGTCACCAGTGGGGAGCTCGTCCGGCACCGGCGGTACAAGCACACTCACGAGAAGCCCTTCAAGTGCTCCATGTGCAAGTACGCGAGTGTGGAAGTAAGTGCCCTGCGTGCGACGCCGCGGGGGCGCGGTGGGAGAGGGCGTAAGGGCGATGCTGAGTGTGCCCAGCGTGCTCACGGCACAGCTCTGAACGGGGGCAGGAGTCACGGCGTTCGATGCAGCAAGTCATAAACACTGTTCCCAAATGTAGAGTAGAAGGTGAATGTTTTCCTTTGGTTACTAACTAGAGAAGACAGCGTCGGAAAGCATACAAGACACAAAGGGACTTACGCCTGGTCAGGAAGCCCGTCAGGTTTGGGACCAGCCCCGCAGTGCAGTGCCGGAGGCCTGTGCTCAGCACACCACACCTACGAGGCTGCTGCTTTGAATCCTGGCCCCCGTGGCACAAAAAAAACTCAGAGCATGTGCGTGCGTGCCCCAGTGCTGGCGGGATGGCGAATGGGCCAGAAGGATTGTGGTGTGGCCATCCCCCACTGGGGGTGCGTGCTCTCTGGCAAGTGCGTGCACCCTCTGGCAGTATAAATAAATGAATAGGAACCTATAAGAAAAAGAAATAATCAGATTGGCTGAAGAGTGCGAGCTAGGACTTTATGTGGTGTCAGAAGATACCTGCTCTGACAGCGCAGATCTGACCTGAGCTCTTGCTAAAATCTGACGCTACCTCAGTCCTCCTCGGTCAGATACAAAGCGGCTTGAAGATTCGGCACAGCCGTCTCCGTGCTAGTCACCGGCAGACCGTCCTGTGCAAACGTCAGTCACGGCGTGGCCAGTTCAACCAGACGCGCTTATTTACGCCCTCGGGCGGACTAGCAGCCACCTTGGGAAACAGGCAGACACGTCTGCTTTGTGTCGGTCCTGCTGGTTCCGTTTTATGATTGGCTGTTTACATTCAGTCACTGTTCGTCTACCCTGTGCAAGGTGTGCACGCAGCCCACAGCACTTGGACCAAGGCATCCCCCGACACGTCACCCCAGCAAAGGCCTTTCCAGGCTTGTATATGACAAGGCTTTTCCCTGAGCCCCTCCCTTGTTAAGGGCTGGCTCTGAGCTAGGGAGGCGGCCAGGCCCTGGCTCTCAGCCTAGTCGGGTAGGGATAAACTGTCCCCTCCAGGAAACCAAGTTAAAGGGGACAGCGAGTCTAAATATGGTCATGATGCAACCTTGCGTCATACACGAAGGAGCCGCATAGACAGGGTCGGAATGCGATTTCGAGAATTCTTGTTAATGTCTATTTTTAGGAGGTTATTTCTTTTCTGAGTTAAAGGTTGGGAGTGTGGTGTGAGAACACAAGATGGTTTCGAGAATGAAGCCTTCTAAAAATCCAAAGCCTCAACTGGACTTTGGTTGACCACCCCCGCCCGGGTCCGCGGTCTGCACGCAGCCTAGGGGTGGTCTCCCCGGCACCTGGACCCTCTCTGACTGCCCTGCTCCCCTCTCCAGCACCCACACCTCACCACACTGGCCTGCTCTACGTGGCCAGGCGGACCATGTCCGGGCCATCCACGGGAACACGACAGCCATGGCCCAGACACGCCAGGCTCAGAAAGCCTTGGTCCTCCCCTTGTCCCCGACCTGCCTTTAGAGACAGTTCTACTCACACCTCCTTTGACCACTCGCATCGCTCATCTTACCCAAACCTTTCATGTTATAATTTAAAAACTATGTTTGCGGGACCAGCAGTTGGCATAATAGCTATGTCGCTAGACTCCCATATAGTTGGCCACGGTTCAAGTCCTGGACCCAGTGGCTAAAACTCACGCCGGGCGCATGTGTGTGCATGCCCAAGATCCCAAGAGGAGAGTGGAGGAGAAGGGATTGCACTGTGGCCATCCCCCCCCTGGGGGGGTGATTTCTCAACCTGGACCCTCTCTGACTGCCCTGCTCCCCTCTCCAGCACCCACACCTCACCACACTGGCCTGCTCTACGTGGCCAGGCGGACCATGTCCGGGCCATCCACGGGAACACGACAGCCATGGCCCAGACACGCCAGGCTCAGAAAGCCTTGGTCCTCCCCTTGTCCCCGACCTGCCTTTAGAGACAGTTCTACTCACACCTCCTTTGACCACTCGCATCGCTCATCTTACCCAAACCTTTCATGTTATAATTTAAAAACTATGTTTGCGGGACCAGCAGTTGGCATAATAGCTATGTCGCTAGACTCCCATATAGTTGGCCACGGTTCAAGTCCTGGACCCAGTGGCTAAAACTCACGCCGGGCGCATGTGTGTGCATGCCCAAGATCCCAAGAGGAGAGTGGAGGAGAAGGGATTGCACTGTGGCCATCCCCCCCCTGGGGGGGTGATTTCTCACTTTCTGCCTCTCTCTCTCTGTCTTTCTGGTAAGCACCTGTACCCTATAGCAAAGAAAAACTAAAAAAAAAAACACTATGTTTGCTCTGCTATCTAACATACTTTAAGGCATCTGCTTTTCTTCTAAAACTACACCGAGTTTTTTTTTTTGATAATTGTTTCTCCCATTCTAAACCTTTTTTTGTTCCTGAACATTCTTCAGGCTGTGTGTGCCTTCCACACCCTGGGGAAGCATTTGAGGGCAGCCTTCCTGAGGTCCCAGCTTCTGTTGCCAGAGTGGTGACAACCCCGCCTCCTGAAAGAGCAGGGCTCCTGATAGGTGAATGCAAAGGGAGGGATTGCTCCAGAAGGCAGTACGACAGGCAGAAACATCAAATGCTTGCTGGGGACGCGTAATCAATCAAATTAGGATTTATTTTCTTCTATTTAAAACTTCTGGTGAAGAGCCCACTGGGACGTGGTGTCTGCACTTACTGTGAAGGAAGCTGGCCTCCCTCCCTGCACCTCACTCCTAATGTCAGCCTGGGGGGGAGGGGCCCGCAGGACTCGCAGCTGCGAAGTGCCTCATCCCTATGTTGAAGAGGTCATGTTGGGTCTGCCCGTGGTGCCAAGGCCACCCAGGAAGGTGCCCATTCATGTCCCAGGGCTTCCCCGTACGCGCGGGTGTGCGACTGCGTGTGCCCTTGACCCTGGCTGGCTGTTTCTGGGGTGGAACATGGCACGAGGACTGTGATGGGGTGCCTGTCCCACTGTGTCATGGAAAAGTAAATAAATAAAGCCAATGTCGCAACATTTTCACTTTATGCAAACAAACAAAAGCGAGGCCTGGCCTTTGTGCTCTACAACGTGGTCTGGACTTTGCAGCAGCTGAGCCTCTGCTGTTTCCAAAGTGACGCCAATCCCGGGGGCTGGGCGCTGAGGCTCGGGCTTGCCTGGTAAAGGAAGGTGGAAGGTGGGGGCCTGCTGGACTTGCTGCTCCCACGGGGTCTCACGCACACGCGTGGCACGAGGTGGCCCACGTGGGACCTACAGAGTGATGACCGCTGTGGTTCCCAGCCAGCGAAGTGTGCTCTGGAGCCCCGGTCTGCTTAACTCTGGTCTCGGAATGCTGACCACTGACCACAGCTTTTAAATTCCGGTGCCACGAATGCCTTTCGTTTGTCCCTTAGGCGAGTAAACTGAGGCGCCATGTGCGCTCTCACACGGGCGAGCGCCCCTTCCAGTGCGGCCTGTGCAGCTACGCCTGCAAGGACACCTACAAGCTGAAGCGGCACATGAGGACACACTCAGGTACACGGCCCGAGGCTAGAGAGCGCACGTGTTCACGTCTGTTAAGTTTTTGCCATAGAGTGCATATGCTCACTGGAGAGAGAGAGGGAAGGTAGGAAGTCACCCCCCGGGGGGATGGCCACACTACAATCCCTTAGCCTCCATTGTCCTCCTGGATCTTGGACACACATGCACAGGCGCCCGGCATGAGTGTCAAGCCACCTGGTCCAGGACTCGCACTGTGGTTTGCCATGTGGGAGTCCAGCAACTTAAACACCACGCCACCTGCTGGCCTCAGCATAGATTCACTTTTAAAAGTGTGTGCACTCTTTGGTGGCAGAATTCAAGCTGGGATTCACAAGGGCTTCTGCCCATGCATTCAGTCAGCACCGAGTGGACCGCCTGGGCACGGCATGCGGCCTCCATGTCGGGGAAGTACCGCGTGTCTGTCTCCCAGGGTTGGGGTATCTAAGTCAGCTCTCCAGTTCGTTCTTCGACTTGAAGGCAGAAAGAACAATGCCAGTCTCACCACATTTGCCCTGCATGGCGGTCACGCGGGTTCGTCCATGTGCACAGCTCGGCTCCTCGTGCAGCGCGGGGACACAGATGGTGTCTACAGGGACCTGACGAGAAGCTGGATGCAACCTTGCGTCATACACGAAGGAGCCGCATAGACAGGGTCGGAATGCGATTTCGAGAATTCTTGTTAATGTCTATTTTTAGGAGGTTATTTCTTTTCTGAGTTAAAGGTTGGGAGTGTGGTGTGAGAACACAAGATGGTTTCGAGAATGAAGCCTTCTAAAAATCCAAAGCCTCAACTGGACTTTGGTTGACCACCCCCGCCCGGGTCCGCGGTCTGCACGCAGCCTAGGGGTGGTCTCCCCGGCACCTGGACCCTCTCTGACTGCCCTGCTCCCCTCTCCAGCACCCACACCTCACCACACTGGCCTGCTCTACGTGGCCAGGCGGACCATGTCCGGGCCATCCACGGGAACACGACAGCCATGGCCCAGACACGCCAGGCTCAGAAAGCCTTGGTCCTCCCCTTGTCCCCGACCTGCCTTTAGAGACAGTTCTACTCACACCTCCTTTGACCACTCGCATCGCTCATCTTACCCAAACCTTTCATGTTATAATTTAAAAACTATGTTTGCGGGACCAGCAGTTGGCATAATAGCTATGTCGCTAGACTCCCATATAGTTGGCCACGGTTCAAGTCCTGGACCCAGTGGCTAAAACTCACGCCGGGCGCATGTGTGTGCATGCCCAAGATCCCAAGAGGAGAGTGGAGGAGAAGGGATTGCACTGTGGCCATCCCCCCCCTGGGGGGGTGATTTCTCACTTTCTGCCTCTCTCTCTCTGTCTTTCTGGTAAGCACCTGTACCCTATAGCAAAGAAAAACTAAAAAAAAAAACACTATGTTTGCTCTGCTATCTAACATACTTTAAGGCATCTGCTTTTCTTCTAAAACTACACCGAGTTTTTTTTTTTGATAATTGTTTCTCCCATTCTAAACCTTTTTTTGTTCCTGAACATTCTTCAGGCTGTGTGTGCCTTCCACACCCTGGGGAAGCATTTGAGGGCAGCCTTCCTGAGGTCCCAGCTTCTGTTGCCAGAGTGGTGACAACCCCGCCTCCTGAAAGAGCAGGGCTCCTGATAGGTGAATGCAAAGGGAGGGATTGCTCCAGAAGGCAGTACGACAGGCAGAAACATCAAATGCTTGCTGGGGACGCGTAATCAATCAAATTAGGATTTATTTTCTTCTATTTAAAACTTCTGGTGAAGAGCCCACTGGGACGTGGTGTCTGCACTTACTGTGAAGGAAGCTGGCCTCCCTCCCTGCACCTCACTCCTAATGTCAGCCTGGGGGGGAGGGGCCCGCAGGACTCGCAGCTGCGAAGTGCCTCATCCCTATGTTGAAGAGGTCATGTTGGGTCTGCCCGTGGTGCCAAGGCCACCCAGGAAGGTGCCCATTCATGTCCCAGGGCTTCCCCGTACGCGCGGGTGTGCGACTGCGTGTGCCCTTGACCCTGGCTGGCTGTTTCTGGGGTGGAACATGGCACGAGGACTGTGATGGGGTGCCTGTCCCACTGTGTCATGGAAAAGTAAATAAATAAAGCCAATGTCGCAACATTTTCACTTTATGCAAACAAACAAAAGCGAGGCCTGGCCTTTGTGCTCTACAACGTGGTCTGGACTTTGCAGCAGCTGAGCCTCTGCTGTTTCCAAAGTGACGCCAATCCCGGGGGCTGGGCGCTGAGGCTCGGGCTTGCCTGGTAAAGGAAGGTGGAAGGTGGGGGCCTGCTGGACTTGCTGCTCCCACGGGGTCTCACGCACACGCGTGGCACGAGGTGGCCCACGTGGGACCTACAGAGTGATGACCGCTGTGGTTCCCAGCCAGCGAAGTGTGCTCTGGAGCCCCGGTCTGCTTAACTCTGGTCTCGGAATGCTGACCACTGACCACAGCTTTTAAATTCCGGTGCCACGAATGCCTTTCGTTTGTCCCTTAGGCGAGTAAACTGAGGCGCCATGTGCGCTCTCACACGGGCGAGCGCCCCTTCCAGTGCGGCCTGTGCAGCTACGCCTGCAAGGACACCTACAAGCTGAAGCGGCACATGAGGACACACTCAGGTACACGGCCCGAGGCTAGAGAGCGCACGTGTTCACGTCTGTTAAGTTTTTGCCATAGAGTGCATATGCTCACTGGAGAGAGAGAGGGAAGGTAGGAAGTCACCCCCCGGGGGGATGGCCACACTACAATCCCTTAGCCTCCATTGTCCTCCTGGATCTTGGACACACATGCACAGGCGCCCGGCATGAGTGTCAAGCCACCTGGTCCAGGACTCGCACTGTGGTTTGCCATGTGGGAGTCCAGCAACTTAAACACCACGCCACCTGCTGGCCTCAGCATAGATTCACTTTTAAAAGTGTGTGCACTCTTTGGTGGCAGAATTCAAGCTGGGATGCACAAGGGCTTCTGCCCATGCATTCAGTCAGCACCGAGTGGACCGCCTGGGCACGGCATGCGGCCTCCATGTCGGGGAAGTACCGCGTGTCTGTCTCCCAGGGTTGGGGTATCTAAGTCAGCTCTCCAGTTCGTTCTTCGACTTGAAGGCAGAAAGAACAATGCCAGTCTCACCACAGTTGTCCTGCATGGCGGTCACGCGGGTTCGTCCATGTGCACAGCTCGGCTCCTCGTGCAGCGCGGGGACACAGATGGTGTCTACAGGGACCTGACGAGAAGCTGCCATGACATCAGGAGGTCGCATCACTGCACCCGTATATGGCTGCTAGGGCTGGATTCTGGAGTCGACCCTCCTTGGGGGTTAAGCCATGAGACGGGGTGGCTAGTGTCCTTTGGAGAGGGTCAGGGCTGGAGGGGTGAAGCCCCCCTCAGGGTCCTTTTGTCACCTGTGCTGCAGGAGAGAAGCCATATGAATGCCATGTCTGCCATGCTCGGTTCACCCAGAGCGGAACCATGAAGGTACACATTCTGCAGAAGCACAGCGAGAACGTCCCCAAGTACCAGTGTCCCCACTGTGCCACCGTCATTGCAAGGAAGAGTGACCTGCGTGAGTGCCTGGTTTCATGGTCTTTTACCTCGAGATTAGGTAGCTCACAGGTGCAGAGATCAGGAACTGCTCCCTGGGCCCGTTTTCTTCCAGAGGTCCTGTGGCACCATCTGGTGGTTAGAGTGCATAAGAGCAGGTTGGCTGGGTCCTGGCCTGTTCCATCCAGAGATGGAAAGATCCTCAAAGGTCCTGAGAGCTGAGAGTTCAAAAGGAAGAACCAAGCATAGCCCTCCTCTTAAGGAGCTCATGTCAGCAGGGGAGGAGGCTCTGGAACATGAGGTCCATGCCGTCACATGCTACGCCCTCTTCATGTGAGATACCGCAGAATGAGGAAAGGGCCGATCCTGAGCGTCTCTGTGCCAGACTTCAGGCTTTGATGGTACTCCGCTGCCGGGAAGCCAGCCAGGATTTACAAGGGGCGAGAGTGAATGGACGGGCCTCTCTTCTGTGTTTCAGGATTCCTGCCCCTACCCCCCCCCCACCATTTTTCCACGATCTTATTTTTCTCTCAAAAACGAAGAACATGGTGATACTCAGAACATGTTAGCAAAAATAAACATTCACCAGTTTGCCCAGAGAAATCCTGGAGATGAGATGAACTGCTGTGAAAACATTTCTGAAAGGGGGAAAGTGTTTTATAAACTCTTAACTTCCAGTTTTCATCCAGAGCATTCTGTCAGTATACCAGATGCCATAGATACCAGTACACCACCAGACAGCCCAGTGGGCTATAGCAGGGCGTGAAGGTTACTGGCCAGCTGCCAAGCAAGGGTATAAGGCTTTTGATGCCAGGCAGAGTAATTTAGTCTTTATCCCATGCCAGTGTCCCTGTAAGGCGCTTTGTAAACACGCTAGTCTTCCTTCCTGTTACTGTATGAGAAACCAGGCTCTCGGAGCGACCGAGACCACGTGTAGCATGTACTGCCATCAGCAGTTTACACGGAGTGCCACAAACCACCTGCTCTAGACTTCGCTGAGCAAAAGCATCCAGCACACGTCCAGTCAGACCCCACCCCGCTCAGGCCAGTTACAACACACATAGCAGAGCGATGACTTTTAACAAGACGTGAACTTTTTTTTTTAAGTTGGAACACAGAGGTTATATCTTTACATGTAAAACCACTTTACTATGACCTAAAACCCACCTGCTCCGTAACAAGATCCTCTGAGTACTTTGGGTGGTGAAAGGCCATTACAGTGATGCCTCAGGGTTCTGTTCATTTACAGCAGGGTCCTCACTGGGAATGGTCCCCCAGGGACATCGGCAATATCCGGAGTATTTGGGTTGTACAACTGGGAGGAAAAGTGATTAGAGATGGGGGGGCTGCTAAACATCCCCAGTGCACAGGGCAGTCTGCCCCACCCTGCCTAGGAAGGAATTAGCCAGCCAAGAGGGAGAGACCCCAGTTCAGATGGCAGGGGACACAGCTGACGGGAATGGATGCTCTTCACATCTCTGAAGCTCTGTGACATTTTAGGTGTCCACCTGCGTAACCTGCATGCCCCCAGGACCTCGGGGATGAAGTGCCGTTACTGCCCTGCTGTCTTCCATGAGCGCTACACCCTCATCCAGCACCAGAAAACTCACAAAAACGAGAAGCGGTTCAAGTGTGAGCACTGCGGTTATGCCTGCAATCAGGTACCATGCTTGGTTGGTCTGGGGAGACAGAGACAACATATGTGGAGGAGGGAGGAAGGGTAGGTTCTGTGCTGCTTCAAGGCATTGAAGACAGCCAACATAGGTAACAAGGCAGCCATGAGCCGTACGTTGAAAGCAACTAAGTTTTTAAAGGACACTCATGCACCCCGGAGCCTCATAACCAGTCAGTGACCCCCGAGAGCCAAGCTGGGGGCATGGTGTCATTTGCTCTCTTCCGTAAGTTGGCATATGCACGCATGGTGCCAAAGTGATGGCTCTGCCCAGGCATGATCCAAGCAGCAACACACAACAGGACTGGTCGGCACTGTGTTCTTCTCATTCGCACACCAGCAGCAAAAGCAATGGGCAGTTTCTTCAGAACATCCCTGATGAGGCCATGAACATCTTAACTCGATTAAATCTTGGCCCTGAATATTTCTTTCTAGTATTTTGTTTTGATGAGACAGGAAGTTGGTGTGAAGCCCCTCAGAAGCCCAACGGTTATCTGGAGGAAAAGCACCCGTGGGGTGGTTGAGTTACCAGCTCAACTAGCCACCTTGTCTTGGAAATTTCACTAAGAAGAGCAAGTAACAGACGGTCTCTGCTGCTCAGCTCTTGAGCATTTGTGGTCATTTTCTTGAAAATGAACCACACAAATCTGTCTTTGTCAAGGGACACACATTACCAGTGACACAACTTCACCTTCCAAGATACATTTAAAACATTGGAAAATTGGCCTTTACTACTTGAAGTTTTACACAATAGTTCCATATTTGAAATCAAAACAGAATTTTTTTTATCAATTCATTTAAGAACAAGAAGCTGACTATATGTTAAGATATTTCTCTAAAAACATATGTATGTGTTTAAACAAAACCCCAGTCATGTCTGGTGTCTTGATTGCTGACACAGTAAACGTGAATACATGTCACCCACATAAGCAGGAGCTCTCTCTAGTCTGCAGAAGAAAGTGGTGGAGCGTGTGGCCCTGAGACCGTGGCTGCACAGCTCCCTGTCCCATGGTGTCTGTCTCACCACCAGCTGTGAAGGGGGACAACAGCACTGACTACATGTCCAAGGGTGACCTGGCAAGGGTAAACAACTGGCATAAAGGAAAGCGGTCTTTTCAAACACAAGATTCTGAGGGCTCAGGCTCAAATTTGTCAAAACGAACTAGAGTTTTCCCAGAACATGGATAAGACTTGAGAGAGGGGTCCCCAGGAGGGTAAGTGGTAGGCGTTTGGAGTGCAGCTGCTTCAGCCCTGAGCAGGGGGAGATGAGGTCCAGGAGACTACGGTCCTTGCAGGGAGTCTGAGTGATGCTGGCCTGGATTTGGAGTGGTGGTGAGCTGGAAGGTGGGCAAGGGAGGTGTCTAATTGGATGAAAGAATGACCATCAGTCAGACTGCCAGTGGTAATGCAGGAGTGCTCACATATTTAACCCATGTAATCACTGGGTTTTTTTTCTTTTTTTTTTTTTTTTAAGAGCAATTTTTGCTATAGGGTACATGCGCTTGCCAGAGAGACAGAAAGTGAAAAATCCCCCCCCGGGGGGCATGGCCATGCCACAATCCCTTCTCCTCCAATCTCCTCTCAGACTTGGGGCACGCATGCACACACACCCTGCATAAGTTTGAAACCACCAGGTCCCGTACTCAAACCATGGTCAACCATGTGGGAGTCCAGTAACAACCATTAGGCTATCTGCTGATCTCCAATCACTGCATTTTTTTAATAAAAGAATTACATTTAATTTGTATCTTTTTGTAGTTTGCTACAGGGCTCATGTGCTCACCAGAGAGAAGGCAAGTGAGAAAGACCCTGCTTTAATCACACCACCTGCCAGCCCCATAACCATTGCATTTTTTTTTTTTTTGGAGAGATTTTCACTGTAGGGCACGTGCGCTCGCCAGACAGAGAGAGAGAGACATAGAGACAGAAAGTGAGAAATCACCCCCCAGGGGGGATGGTCACGCCACAATCCCTTCTCCTCCATTCTCCTCTCAGGATCTTGGGCACGCACGCACACGCGCCTGGCGTGAGTTTTAAGCCACCGGGTCCGGGACACGAACCGCGGTCGACTACGTGGGAGTCCAGTGACATAGCCATTACGCTAACTGCTGGTTCCCAACCACTGCATTTTAATAAAACAAACATGCACTTTTACCTGACTGTATGCATATCCTTGTCCTTAGTTCCCAAATTACTTACTCCCCAAAATCTTTTTTTAAGAGAGATTTTTGCTATAGGGTGCATGCACTCGCCAGAGAGGCAGAAAGCAAGAAATCACCTCTGGGGGAGGGGGGTGGCCACACCGCAATTCCTTCTCCATTCTCCTCTCAGGATTTTGGGCATGAATGCATACGCACCCTGCATGAGTTTTAAGCTGCTGGGTCTGGGACTTGAACCACAGTCGACTATGTGGGAGTCCAGTGATGCCATCTACTGGTCCTCGCTCCCAAAAATCTTAGTTAAAAATCTCTGGTTATTTCTTTCTTCATAAGAATCACTCCCCCATCATGCTTTAAACCAGCACTAAGCTCGGCTACACCGAGGAGGAAGGCGGGACATCTAATGTGTTTCCACCCCAAGGTCCCCGGAGTGCACACTCGCAGGTGTTTGGGCTCACAGGTTTATCTGCCCTCATACATGTGGGAGTGCAGACTGCTACAGGGAAGCTGGGCCCCGCGCCCATGGCGTCTTTGGGGAAAATGCCCATCGTTTGACTCCTGAGGGGTGTGCCACCTCATTCCCCGTCAGGAGCGAACTAGCGGAAAGTGAACTGCGAGAACTCAGAGCTGCAGGGCAAGGCCTGTGCACAGCGTGTTGTGTAGACGGCAGAGGCTGGAGGTGCAGACAGCGCTGGGAGTGCTTTGCGGTCGTTTTGCTTAATAGTGCGCTCACCTTTGAGTCGGGGGAAGGCAATATACAGTAAACAATGTCTACAATTAAAAACCCACGAGCAAGGCAAGCCGCCTCTTCCCATTCCTGCGTAGGCACGGCACATGGCGGTTCACGTGCGCACCCACACGGGGGAGAAGCCCTTCACCTGCCTTTCCTGCAGCAAGCACTTTCGGCAGAAGCAGCTGCTGAGCGTCCACTTTAAGAAGAGCCATGATTCGAGCTTCATCCCAGCCGTCCACAAGTGCCCCACGTGCGGCAAGGGCTTTTCCCGCTGGGTAAGCGTCTTCTGCATGGGAACCCTCCCAGGACTCTCCGATCGGGAGGACAGTGCCACCCTGGGAGAGTTTACACCTGATTACAGAACCTGAAACCTGTCATGCCTCAGGAAGTGGGTTATTAGTTTTGTGGAGCCACAAACTCTTGAAGAATCTTATGGAAGTGAAGTCTCCCCTCCCCCTGAAAAGGGGCAGTCCTACCCACGGAATCTTGAAAATAGTCTTGGGGAGATCCTCGCTCCCTGAAGAACCCTGGCTTGTCACGTCAGATTTGAACCGGATTTAGGCTACTTCCCAGATAGAATGCAGTTTTTATTTTTTAAGAATGATTTATTCTATTTATTTTTAAATTTGACCAGAGAGAGGCAAAGTGAGAAAGCAAATGGCCAGGTCCGGGACTCGAACTGCAGTCAGCTGTGTGGGTGAGAGTCTAGTACCTTAACCACCGTGCCACCTGCCAGCCCCTAGCATGCAGTTTTTAATGTTCCTTAGATGTCCTCCGGCCAGCGCTGTCAGTTGTGCTAAGTGCTGGGTTTCCCCTTCGGTTTCTTTTAGATGTTCTATTTCTGCATACAGAGTCCCTGAGAGCCCTGGCGGCGTGAAGCGACAAACGGATATCTAATAGTGTCTGAGATCGGGTCTCAGTCCCGATGGCTGAAAAATCAAGCCATGGTGTGTGTGCGTCAGGACTGGAGGGGAAACTGGTGAGGCCATCCCCTCTGGGGGCCGATTTCTCACTTTCCCTCCCTCTCTGGCAAGTGCAAGCACCCTAGAGCAAAAACTAAAAAAAAAAAAAAAAAGTCTCATTTTTTGGTAAACAATTATGAAAAGAACGTGGTACTCTTTTTGTGATGTTCATTTCTTTAAACTCTGCATATTTTTTGTTTTGGGGAGTTTAATTGCCAGAGGGTACGTGCACTCACCAGAGAGAGAAAGCGCCACACCCTGACAGGGAGTGGTCATGCTGTGATTCCTTCTTTTCTGTTTCCCTGTCCTGTCGGGATTTGGGGCGTGCACACACCTGCACCCAGATGTTTTTCAAGCCATCGGGGCTGGGACCTGAACTGCAGTCAACCAGGCTGGACTTGCTCCCCGTGCACGGAGCCTAACCGCTGTACTGCGTGGCCCAGAGGTTTCCAATGCAGTTGGCAAGGCCAACTGTTAACCGTGTTCTGTGTCGTCTCTCTGACAGAGTAACATGCACAGACACGCGGAGAAGTGTGACACGGGGCGTGAGAAGCCAGCCGCTGCAGGGACAGGGAGGCAGCGGCGGAGGACACGGGCAGCCCTCAAGGAAGAAGGTACCTCGTCCACAGCTCAAATTTGACGCGAGAGCGGTTTTCTCATTGTGAATTGTCCTGGGCACTGAGTAGCATCCAGGCACACGGCCAGGAACCCTGCTGCCCCCAGCCGGTCTGTCCACGTAGCCTGAACGCCAGGCCTGGCAGGCACCTGCCTGGCTTGGCACGGGGCACCCTCTGCCACTTTGGGCAGGTCTTGATGAAGCGGGAGGTGGGAGTGGGTCCTCAGATCCCCAGCAGGTCCAAGCCCCATCATGTGGGAAAGACAAAATAGACATTCAGTGGCCAAATGACAGACACCCGGGCCCTGCGCCTGCAGGAGCTGCTTTGGGCAACTGCAGGGACCACAAGCGGCTCACGCAGTTCTGAGGCCAGAAGTCCTAAGTCAGGCCCCAGGGGGCCAGGCTCCCTCTGGAGGCTCAAGGAAGGGTCCTTCCTGCCTCTGTACCTCTGTGCTGCCGGCTCCCCCTGGCCTGGACCACACCCCTGCAGTATCGGCCTCCACTCTGTCTCAGGAGGGTGCTGGACCTAGGACCTGGGACGTCCAGGAGGTCTCTGGGTCCTTTTTCCATCTGGTCACATAAGGGTTTAATTTTCCAGAGGGTGAGGGTACTCCCCAGAGAGAGATGGGGGAAGCTCCCAGTGGGTATGGCCACGCCACACTCCCTCCTCCTCGCCCTCCTGTTGGGATCACCAGCGCTCACACACACGAGCCCAGTGTGTTTAAGCTGCCAGACTCAGAGCTCAAACCGTGCGGTCAGCCACATGGGGTCCAGCTGTCCTAACCACTGTGCCACAGGCTGGCCCCGTGGGCATGTCCTTTTAGGGGCCACCGTCCAGCCCACAAGCCCCCGGCCTGAGGGGGCCGACC